AAAAAAAAAAAAAAAAAAGAAGAGTGATCAAGGTCCAAGAGTGGATACAGGACAGTCAAATGGAAAAGCAAGTCAGAGAATAGTGGATGCCATTCACATACAGATTCTTTTTTTTTTTTTTTCCAAACTTGGGACCTTGCGTTTGCCAGGCAGGCATTTAATGTCACTAAGCTCTCTCCTCGGTCCAACACATACAGATATTTATTTATTTGTATTTTAGAGAAGGGTCTACTGGGTGTTCAGGGTCTCACTACTAGATCAGACTCCTAGTGATCTGCCTGTTTACAACCTCCCAAGAGCTGGGATTACAGATGTGCACCACCACACTCAGTCTCAATTGCCATCTCAGCATGTCTCAGGGGTGGTGCTGGTACCACAGGCCCAGGGATCAAACCCCCGGCCCCTGTGCCAGCTTGCAGGCACTTTAATCTGCTGAGCTATTTGGCCAGCCCACATACAGATTCTTGAGTATCAATATCTTCAAAAGAGGCCAGGCATGGTGGCACATGCCTGTAATCCCAGCATTTGGGAGGCTGAGGCAGGAGGATCACTGCCAGTTCAAGGCCAGCCTGAATTGCATGGCAAAACCTTGCCTCAAAAAGCAAAAAAAAAAAAAAAAAAAATAGGGCCAGGGACATGGCTCAGTAGAATAAAAGAGCCTGAGTTAAATCCCAGTGCCACACAAATGAGCCTTTGGCTAGATATGACTACTCTCTTACATGTATTGCTCTCTAATTTTCTGAGGAATCTCCCCAATTCAATGGTGAGCTCGTGTAGGATTAAAGTGTACATACCAGGTGCTCAATAAATAATAGGTTGACAGAATCCTCTATGCGCCATCCTATGAATTCCTTCCAGTTCTCCGGATCTGCCTATCAGAGATGTACTCAGATCTTGTTTAGATCTTCAATCTAGACAATGTTCAATACAGGTGACCTTCAGTGGGACTAGCTACGTAGGAGACGCCAGGAGGGTGTCTCTATCTCTATTCTGCAATGTCTTGCTTGCAGCCTTCTTGGGAATGATGCACTTCCAGCGTCTCTGGTTCTGTTCCAACGTTTACAGAAATTCGGGTTAAAGGAGACAGGCTCTTTAAGAAACGGTGTGGCGCCCCGCCCTCCAAAGGGATCAGCTGAATCCCAGTCATGTGACTCTTCGGGTCTCTTCCGCAGCTGAAGCGGCTGCCGCATGTGCACTTGTCGGGAGGCCCGCTGGGGCTGGGGGCCCTGTGCCACCAGCCCCATGCTCCTCTTGAGCCTGCTTCTGTCTACAGCCCCGTCTGGCTTGCAGGGAGAGGAGACCCGCAAGGTGAGGGCTCTAGAACCACAACAGTAGAGGTTTCCGGAAATGCTACACTCTGGGGCAATCATGGGGTGAAGGGTGGCCACAAGAGAGGCGTTCTTCACCCTAGAACCGCATGCATGGGGGCCTGCCCATTAGCTCAGTTGTTTAGGGTCTGGAGAGAGAGCTCAGTAGAATAAGCGCTTGCCTGTCCTGAGTTCAATCCCCAATACGCAAAACAAAACAAAACCCGGGATGCAGCTGTGAGCCATGAGGAGGGACTGTGGAATGAAGCAGGTGTATGGCTTCCTGCCTTCCAGCTTAGTCTGGACCTGACTTAGCCCTGAATGACCCAGGTCAAGGAAAATGTTGGGGTGTTTGTCTTCTCAGCTCTGTGCCCTGGCTTCCTTCCCCCCAGGTCCAGGCAATCCTGACTACCCATAATCCTTTGGCTCCATCTTGACTCTCTGCCTACTTTCAGGACTTCTTTAGCTTCCTATGCAAGCAAGGCCCCACACTCCCTAGCACAGTCTCCTCCCCTCCTGACTCTCAAGCTTGGTTTTGCTGTGTCTCCTTGATCCTGTCCCTGCCCCTGTACTATTTCCTGTTCTAGGTATCTCTGGATGTACCAGATTGGCTAGGCAGTCCCCAGAATCTGCTGCACATCCAGGCAGTAGGCACCAACTCCACCCTGCACTATGTGTGGAGCACCCTGGGGACTCCAGCAGTGGTGCTGGTGGCCACCAACACCTCCCACAGTGTGCTGAGCATCAATTGGACCCGCCTGCTGTCTCCTGAGCCAGATGGAGCCCTGATGGTGCTCCCCAAAGACAGTATCCAGTTTTCTTCTGCCCTCATCTTCACCAGGGTGAGGGGGTTGAGGAGGATCAGGAAAGGAAGGAGCTTGGAGCAAAGTTTATCCAAGAGAGATGGACTGGGTGGGGGAGGTAGACTCAGATGGGAGGCCCGGGGGGGGGGGGGGGAGGTGAGTGGCTCAGGAGACACCTGAGCCAAGACAAGCCCAGGTCCACCCCACTTCTCCCTCAGCTCCTTGAGTTTGACAGTACATCAGATGCTGCAGCAAAGCCCCCTGGAAAACCATATCCTCCGTACTCCTTGGCCGAGTTCTCATGGAATAACATCACTGACTCATTGCATCTTGATGCCCTGAGCGCCACTTTTCAGGGCCACCCTAAAGATGACCCAAGAGGGGCTTTTGCCAATGGCAGCCTGGCCTTCAGGGTGAGTGTGGAGAAAGGGGAGTCAAAGGCTAGTTTCTGAGGGTGGGCGTATGACAGGTATAGCCCCCAGCCCAGGTATCAGGTCTACTCCCACACCTCCTATGTCTCCTTTCTAGGTCCAGGCCTTTGCTGGATCTGGCCGACCTGCTCAGCCCCCTCGCCTGTTGCACACAGCAGACACCTGCCAGCTAGAAGTGGCCCTGGTAGGGGCCTTGCCCCGAGGAAACCGCTCCCTCTTTGGGATAGAGGTGGCTACCTTACAGCAGGACCTTGGCTGCCCCATGATTCAGGAGCAGCATTCCATCGATGATGAATATGCACCTGCAGTCTTCCAGGTCTGGCCAGTGGGACAGGGACAGTCAGAGACCAGGGTGTAGGTGGGACCATATTAGGACCTCAGAGAAGCATTCAAGCACTTAGCATTTCGCAACTCTTTCTCTGGGCTCTCTAAGTGCTGGGTAGTGTACTAATGAATCCCACCTTCTGCCTCAAGGGAGACAGACAAAAGGCTGTGACTACATCTGCAGATAGGGATCTCCACAGGGACCTGGGGGTGCAGAGGAGGGGAACTGGGTGCAGACTTGCAGGGTTCCAAGGAACTGCTCATGCAGGCTAACCCACCCTCTCTACAGAGGAAGGACTGTGGCCCTGATGAATACAGGCTTTACTTCCAGGCCAGGACTCCTGCTGCCCTTCAAACAGTGTCACAAATGGGGACTGAGAGAGGCAGACAAGGGCCAGGGTAGCCCCAGCTCTACCCACCACCCTGGTCCCTCTCACCTTGCCTTGTTTGCCTTTCACTGCAGCTGGACCAGTTGCTGTGGGGCTCCCTCCCATCTGGCTTTGCACAGTGGCGACCCGTGGCTTTCTCCCAGGAGCAGGCTGGCCGCGCATCATCTCTGTCCTGCCAGGCTTCCCCTCTTCACCCAACCTGGGCTCACTCTCTTCCCCAGTCATCTGTTGTCCAAGCCTTCTTTGGGCCCCAGCAAAACTACTGTACCTTCAGCCTGACATTTGGGACTTCCACAGGCCCTGGCTACTGGGACCAACATTACCTTAGCTGGTGAGAATCCAGGGGCAGCCTGAAGTTTGGGGCCTGAAGTGGAGGAAGACTGAGCCCGGGCCTCCCTCTAAGCCTGCTGACCTCGTTCTCACCCTCCTGTTCCAGGTCAATGCTTCTGGGTGTGGGCCCACCTCCAGTGGATGCACTGTCTCCCCTCATCCTGGTAATCATGGCGGTGGCTCTGGGTACTCCAGGACTCATGTTGCTGGGGGGAGGCATGGTCCTGCTCCTGCGCCGAAAACGTTCCTCAGAGTACCAGTCCATAAACTAAGGCAGGACTGGACCTGCCATGAGTGCCTTGAATGTGGAGCTTGGAAGGTCAATGTTCCCGCTGGCTGGCTCCTTCCAGCCTTTGTTCCCCACCCATCTTGCTTTTCTTGAGAACCTCATGGTCTACCTCAACTTCTTGAGGACTCCTAGGTGGGACTTCTTGTACACACTGGGGAGGGATTTGGGTTGTTGCTAAAAGAAAGTCCCTCATGGATTGTCCCTCCATGTTGTCATTCCCTCCATACCCTTTCTCAAGCTGGGCCTGGTGCAACACACCTGTAATCCTAGCACTGGGGAGGCTGAGGCAGGAGGATCACTGAGAGTTTGAGGCCAGCCTGGGCTACATAGTTCACGGCGAGCCTAAACTATGTAATAAGACTCTGCCTCAAAACAAAACCCTTTCCACTGGATGACATTCAAAGACCTGAAAGAGTGGCCCAGCTGGCTGCTGGCTGCTGGCTACTGTGTCTGCCAGCATGAAATAGAATTATTTTTTCACAAGGTTTCAGTCTCAGTGTGTAAGTGGTGTTGGGTTGGTGTGAGGCTAGTTCCAGGGAAAGGGAGGGGGAAGAGAGGGGTTTGGAAGGCAGGCCTACTGGAGGCCCCGTTTCACTGGGTTTTGTTCTGTTCCTCTAGAGCGCAGGCTCTTGCCAGCCACCCTCCAGCATGTGCAGTCTGAATCAGACAAGGAGAAACACTAAAGGCTGGGGGTGCAAAGAGGGAGAAAGAACCAGTGAAGACTGCTGGGGATTTATTGTTACATCTGCTCAAAGTAGGTTAGCCTCAGCCACACCTTCCTACACTCCAGGCACTGCATGTACAGGAACACATATGTACACACATGCACACTGCTCTGGGAAACAGGGTTTCCTGTGCACTCTTCTCTTCCTGTGAAACACGTGACTTCCAGGAAGTCCCAGGAGCTTGCACAGGTCTGGTGGAAGGAGATGGCAGCTTTCAGAGGTTAATGAGGCTAATGGGCCTTTAGGGCTACCTGGGGCATGTTCTGAACCCAGACCCCCAGGAAGGTCTTCAGCAAACATGAGCAGTGTTTCCAATGGCCTTGAGTTCCTCTGTCTCCATAACTGACATATACGAGACTAGTATATGTCACAGGGAGCTGGAGAAGAGCAAAGTCCCCACATCTAGAGCCCTGGGGGCAGTGTGGGAGGTGGCCCAGGAAGGAGCCATACTTCTGTCTTGGTCCCTTGTCCTCAGTATGCGTTAGAGTTCCATATCTTTCCCTGCAAAAAAGGTCACCAACTATGGTAGTACACAGCTGTAATCCCAGCACTTGGGAGGCTGAGGCAGGAGGACCTCTGAGAATTCAAGGCCAGCCTCAATTGCATATTGAAATCCTATCCCCCCCCAAAAAAAAGCCCCTCCCTTATACCTGTCACAGACTCCCCAAGCAAAAAGATAGCCAAGGTGGGTGCAGTCTCTGATTGCACAGAACCCTATGGGGCAGCAAGGTTCCTGTCACCAAGGTCCTCTGGCTAGGGGCATAGCCAAGACCTGCAGCTGGGTAGAGAAAGGTGTGTCTGGGTCAGAGCTGCTCAGCCCCAGGGTCGTGGCCAGTAGTCTGACGCGGAGCGGACATGGTCCGGATAGTCCAGGCGGCTCTCAGAGGCTGTGAGCATGCGCTCAGGTTCCACCACGAACATGTAGTAGAGGTTCCACACCAGCATGGCCAGCAACGGCAGGAATGTCAAGCCATAGCCAAAGCCTCGAAAGGAGCGGCCCACAGCGAAGGACAGCCAGTATATCAACCTGCAGGAGGACAAGTGTCAACCAGTGGAGAATAGGTTCATGGCAGGGAGAAGAGGGTTGGTGACTTATCACTGGTTCTAAAAACAGCCACACTGGGTGTGGTGGTACATACCTGTAATCCCAGCTCTCGGGAAGCCGAGGCAGGAGGATTGCTGCCAGTATAAGGCCAGCAAGGACTACATAACAAGACATTGTCTCAAAAGACAAAAAAAAAGTTTATGCATTTATAGAGTGGTAGGAACAGGGCTCATTACTGTAAGTGCACTATTTTGATTTTCCCATATTCCTCTGAGGTAAAAACATTTCTCCTCTTTAGTTTTGAGTTACTGGGCTGGAGAGATGGCTCAGTGGTCTAAAGCACCTACTTGAAACAAGCTTAGCAAAGCACAGGGACCGCGGTTCGATCCCCCAGCACCACATGCCAGCCAGCCCCGCCCCCTGGTGGGCTGAGCTGGCCACACACAATAAATAAATGTAATAAATAAAAAAATAATTTAAAAAATAGTTTTGAGTTACTAATTTACAATTTTGAGTAGGTAGCTGGGCATGATGGCACATTCCTGTAATTGTAGGACTCTGGGAGGCTGAGACAGGAAGACTGCAAGTTTTGAGCTCAGCCTGGCCAATTTAGGCATTTAGTGAGATTCTGTCTCCAAATTTTAAAAACTGCTGGGCGTGGTGCCACAGGCCTAAAATCCCAGTGTTGGAGGCAGCTACATAGATAGAAATATTATAGGCAGTCAGACAGGGCCAGGCCCTCAAGGAGACAATATGGAAGACAAGATGACTTTGCAGCTTTGGAACAGACACCTCATTGGGCCAGATCTCAAGACAAAAGAGTAAACAAATGCAGCCACATACTTCCCTAGGGATGGGCATCAGGGATTGATATTCTGCATAGTATCAGTCATCTTGAAAGAGACAAGTAGAGTCACTAACCCAGCCCCCAACAGGAAAAGCCCCTATTCTATATTCATGCCCACTTGCTACATAACTTGCTTCCCTATTTGATCATGATTTAATCAATTTTACCTGAGTAACTATTTGTAACCTTTTTTT